AATGTTTTTTTGGCTATTGCTACAAATATACCCCAGCGACTTAAGACTGGTTTTGTGGTCCAGGATCACATATTAGAATGATTTCTGAAGGATCATGTGACACTGAAGACTACAGCAGTGTTCAAATTTAATGTAGAATTCACAAAACATTTTCGTTTCCATCAAAAACCCTCAGGAGCAGTTTGTGGAACCGTTCAGCCGCCGAGGGCGTCAGGAGAACCTGAGGTACAACAGCATGCTGAAACAAATCCACACGCAGAACAGCGCCATCCTCAGGCAGTGGAGGGCGGCGCGCAGAGGACTCTTCTGTGAGAGAGGACCCTGGGTGGACAAGTGAGTGTTGTTTCTGTCTGTAAATGTCACTGAGACCAGGAGTGGATACTGTTTGTGCAGGTGGAGGTGTATACATCTACTATAACCAGTAAATCACATATAATATAATCAAATGTGTTTTTGACAGGATGTAACATAATTTAAAAAAGAGAGAATTGTGCTAATTAATGTGGTGTTTAAGGCAGCTGTTTGTGTTTGGCAGGCAGCAGAAGGACATGCACTGGAAGCTCTCTAGCGCTGAGAACTACTCCCGTATGCGACTCAAACTGGTGCGGAATTACAACTTTGATCCCCATAGAGAAGCCAGTGCCTTGAGAGACAACCTAGGTAAGATATACACACTTAAAAATGGTCACTTGTAACTTTTATAAATCTTGTGGTGGGCATTTATAGGAAATAATTGGTTTTGTGTGTGTTACTTCAGGTGTGCAGCACCAGCAGGTAAACGCCGAGTCGCTGTTGTTAGAGGCGGTGAAACAGGTGAAGGTCAGTGATCTGGAGGATGACATACTGGAGCTCCTGGAGGAGGATCCTGCATCAGCCAATCAGTGAGTCTCAGTTTAAACGGACAGGAGCAGTAACCAATCACTGGAGCTAAATACAGAAACACGCTTTTAGGTTTCGAACAACACGAGGGTGAGTAATTAATGACAGAATTTTCATTTTTGGGTGAACTAACCCTTTAATAACTGGATGTGTAAACTCTTTGAAACGCCTTGAATAATGTTGTTTTATCCATTAAAGATTAGATTTTAGTTAAAAGATTTGATAATAGTAATGTTTACATTTTGACATTAACATGTCAAATGGTGTTTTTTTTTTTTGCATTATCAATTTCCATGTACAGTTTTTTTATTGTTTTGAAAGAAGTCTCTTTTGCTCAACAAGGCTGCATTTTTTTTATTAAAACTACATTAAAAACAGTAATATTGTGAAATATTATTGCAATTTAAAGTAACTGTTTTCTTTGTGAATATATTTTAAAATGTAATTTATTCCTGTAATCCAAGCTGAATTTTCAGCATCATTACTCCAGTCTTTAGTGTAACGTGATCCTTCAGAAATTGTAATATGCTGATTTGATGCTCAAGTAACATTTCTGATTATTATCAATGCTGAAAAAGTTGTGCTGCTTAATATTTTTGTGTAAACCATGATTTTTCAGGATTCTTTGATGAATAGAAAGTTCAAAAGGGCAGCATTTATTTTAAATATTTTTTTGTCAAATTATAAATCTCTTTACTGCCACTTTTGATCAATTTAATGCATCTTCACTGAATAAAAGTATTAATTTCTTTAAAAAAAATGCATGTAAACACACTCGCTGTGGTTCTCTTAGGGCTGATTGTGAAGAGGCAGGTCAGAAGGAGAAGCTGGTGATCTCAGAGGACTGTGAGCTGGTCACGGTGGTTGACGTCTATCCGGGTCGTCTGGAGCTCACCACACAGCACATCTACTTCTACGACAGCAGCACAGAGAAAGAGGAAGGTGAGGAAAAACTGGTACAGTGAAATTTAGCAGTGTGAAGGTCATATGTTTGAGGATAGAGATGATACTGATCTTCATTTTCAGGTGTAGGTCAGGACTTTAAATGGCCTCTGTCTCAGATCAGAGAGATTCACCTGCGCAGGTACAACCTCCGGCGCTCGGCTCTGGAGATCTTTCTCATCGACCAGACCAACTACTTCCTGAACTTCAAGAAGGAGGTCAGGAATCTGACAGCATCTTCTTTTTCTCTTTCCTGTATGAACGTAATGCTACATGCAAACTCTTAAAACTGCTTTATAATGAGCTGATATTTGTTTTTTGTAAACACACTCATTGAGTCTCATTCACTAATAATTGAAGGAATTAATTGAATTGAATGCGTTGGCAACTAGCTGAAATAAAATACATTTATTTATTTGTTTTATATATTTTTTTTATTTCAAGTAGCAAAAATTGTTTTATCAACTATATTTCACACAAAAATTTGTTAGTGAATGAGAGCGTTGTTATTTTGTAACTTTCCCACCTTCTTTTGTTCAGTCTCTTATGATTGGTTGTTTCTGTTTGATTGACAGGTGCGTAATAAAGTGTTCAGCCGGATGCTGCTGCTGCGCTCTCTCTCTCTTCATGCCACTCACTCACCGCAGGAGCTGCTCAAAGCCTCTGGACTCACACAGGTCACTGCACACATGAAGCATCTCTGTTTCATATAGTACAACACTGAAGGTTCAGGGCTGACTTTACCTTCTCTCTGTCATCAGAAATGGGTGAACAGGGAGATCTCAAACTTTGACTACCTGATGCAGTTGAACACCATAGCAGGACGGACGTATAACGATCTGGCTCAGTATCCTGTGGTGAGAGACACTTACACAGCCGCTCTGAGCTCTGTTTGAATGTGGCCACACATCAGCGCTCATTCGCTTCCTGAATGATCTTACAGTATGTGACTTTCTCTGCTGATTTTAGTTCCCCTGGATCCTGTCGGATTATACGTCCGAGGAGCTGGATCTGTCCGATCCGCGGGTGTTCAGAGATCTCTCTAAACCTGTGGCCGTGCTGAACGAGAGGAACGCCAAAGCCGTCAGAGAGAAGTGTGTTTCTGTCTCTGTCTCGTTCTCTCAGTCCTTTTGGTTTTATTCCAGTTCAGAAAAAAAAGTATAGCTAGTATAGTAAGTTTTAGTTGACTATAACAACACCTAGGCAACATTTTTAGTCATCTGAAGGATTTACCAAATAGTAGGCTGTGAAATTTCAGTTTGATAAAATACCTTGTATTGGCTAAATATGGTAGCATTCATCCGTCACACATAACACCATCCCAGAATGCATTGTGCATCACTGCATCACTGAAAAGTTTCATTAACCTCTGATTAAAATTAGTGCTGTCAAACGATTAATCGCATCCAAAATAAAAGTTTTTGTTTACATAATATATGTGTGTGTACTGTGTATATTATGTATATATAAAGACACACACATACAGCATATATTTTGAAAATATTTACATGTATTTACGTGTATATATTTATATTCATATAAATAATATCATATATAAATATATTTAATTTATAAACGTAACATTTTTCTTAAATATATACATGCATGTGTGTGTATTTATATATACATAATATACACAGTACACACACATATATTATGTAAACAAAAACTTTTATTTTGGATGCGATTAATCGCGATTAATCGTTTGACATCACTAATTAAAATACATTATTTTGTCCATTATTTGTGTTTGAAATGTATTTGGGTCATTAGCTCGGCCACATGCTAACTTCAGACTGTTGGAATCATCTTTGAGCATCAAATCTCTTAATGTATTATTTTAAAGTTATTTATATACTATTATAATTTTTATTAATATTTTGGATTAGCTTTTTAGATTTCAGTTTTCAATTTTATATTTTTGTTTTTATGTTAAGGTTTAAGAATTTTGTTTGTGCTTTTGTTGTTTTTAGTACTAAATATTTAGCTTTCATTTATTTTGATTTCAGTTTTAGTAATTTTAATATGATTTCATTTCGTTGCCAAGGCAACATTTTAAATTTTATTTTAAGATATATTTTATTTTATTTCAGTTACCAAAGCCCATTTTTAATCATTTTAGTTTTAAAACTTAAACACTGGTCTTGTATGGTGTTCTCTGTCACTTATGAGGTTCCACTTTGAGGCGTTCCCTTAGAAGGTAGCTTCCTATTTAACAGTGAAGCAGTTCACTAGGTTTAGGAACAGAGCAAATGTTTTGAAGTGTCGGCAGTGAATGCAGCTGATTGTAAATGATGCTTATTCTGCAGATATGAGAGTTTTGAAGACCCCACAGGCACCATAGACCGTTTCCACTACGGCACGCACTACTCGAACGCCGCTGGAGTCATGCATTACCTCATTCGAGTCGAACCCTTCACATCCCTGCACATCCAGCTGCAGAGCGGCAGGTAATGCTTGTCTGGTTTTATGTCTTTTTGCCTTAAAATTCGGTTTCACTCACTTTCTTTTGTGTCCCTTTTTATCAACCAACTCACAATTGTTCTCAAAAATTATTCACTCAAATTATTTTGCATGCTTTGAAAAGAAAAGGTTACTGAAGTGAAATTCATATAAAGACCTCATATTCTAAGATGTTTTGTAGCGTTACAGGATTATTACAGTTTTTACGGTCTGTCCCTTAGAATTAAACAGCCTGTTTTTGCTAATGTGCCTTTACAAATTCTTCAAATAAATGGTCTCTGTTATGATTGGCTTTTGACTGATTGATATTTAAACAAAGGCAATGGACCTTTTTCACATTTCCGGGATTCTCAGAAGCGGAAGTTATCATAGTTGGGTTAACTTGAAGAGCAGTGAATGGGAGAGTACCACAAATATATTTTTTGCATTCCCATTTGCTCAAATAGCAAAAGAAACACTCCACGATAGTGTTTTCATGACTTTCAGTAAAAGGAAAAAAATTGAGAGAGACTGATACCGGCAGTCAGAAGAGAGAACGATGTCAAATTTACCGTCCCTCCTATAGACACTGCATAAGAAACATCGGCGCATTAGCGTAAACTAGTTTTTTTGATGCAAAGGTAATATAACAAGGCTGCATTTGTTTGATCAAAAATACAGGAAAAAATGTAATATTGTGAAATATTATTATGATGTAAAATAACGTTTTTCTATTTTAATATACATTAAAATCTAATTTATTTCTGTGATCAAAGCTGAATTTTCAGCATCATTACTCCAGTCTTCAGTGTCACATGATCCTTCAGAAATCATTCTAATATGCTGATTTATTATCAGTGCTGGAAACTGTTGTGCTGCTTAATATTTCTGTGGAACCTGTGATACTTTTTTTCAGGATTCTTTGATAATAAAAAGTTAAAAAGAAGAGCATTTATTTTACTGTTTTTTTCTGTATTTTTGATCAAATAAATGCAGCCTTGATGAGCATAAGAGACTTCTTTTAAAAACATTACAAGTCTTACTGATCCCAAACTTTAGACCGGTAGTGTACATTTAAAAAAAAATAAAAAATACAAATATGAAAAACTTCCGAGGATTTACGATGTATATATTTAGGGTTGCCACATCCTCATAAAACTCCTTTTCATTATATGAATAAAGTTGGTCTGACTGTCTGGCAGGTTTGACTGTGCCGACCGTCAGTTTCACTCTATTCCTGCTACCTGGCAAACCCTCATGGACAATCCCAACGATGTCAAAGAGCTCATCCCAGAATTCTTTTACTTCCCAGAGTTCTTGGAGAACCAGAACGGTGAGTAAATTAAAGATTAGTTGAGCTAGTATTGCCAGTTAAGCTGGAATAGGAGAAAGCTTTTTAACTCTCCTGTTGTGGCAAAAAAAAACTGGGTACAACACCTATTGTGGCTTTTCAGAGACAAACAAATATAAAATATGTGAGAAATTGAATCATTTCCATCAATTTCTGTTGTGTTCCTTCTATTGTATTAGGGGTTAATTTGACCCACATATTTTAAAATGTTTCTCTCTTTGGTCAAGACTACTTGTAATGAAAGTGAAAGTGACGTGACATGTGGCCAAGTATGGTGACCCATATTCGGAATTAGTGCTCTGCATTTATCCCATCCAAAGTGCACACACACAGCAGTGAACACACACACACCGTGAACACACACCCGGAGCAGTGGGCAGCCATTTTTTTGCTGCGGCGCCCGGGGAGCAGTTGGGGGTCTTTCTCAAGGGCACCTCAGTCGTGGTATTGAAGGTGGGAGAGAGCGCTGTACATTCACTCCTCCCACCTACAATCCCTGCCGGTACGAGACTCGAACCCGCAACAAGTCGGGGTTACGAGTCCGACTCTCTAACCATTAGGCCACGACTTCCCCGTGGCCTAATGATTAGAGGCCTAATGGCCCAATAATGGTTTATTTGCACAAGGTGCAAATAACCACATGCATGTATAAATATTATATAACATTATTTGTGCTTAGTGTAAGTAGTATTTATTGCTATTTGTAAATTGCTCTGCTTTTTGCTGTCTGGTTGTCAAACCCTTGTTGAGGGTACACATAAACCATAAACATCCTTTGAGTTTGAGTTTTGACAAATTAACTGTGAATTTTCCTTTGGTAAGTCAGAACACAAGTCGTCTTTTGAGTAAACTTTGGGTTTTAAAATTAAACAAGTTCTCATGTATTTCATATTTTAGTGTTTAACAAGCTACAATTTTTCCTCACCTGATTCTTTGCTGTTTTTCAAAGTGTTGGCAGAGTTTTTGGCAGATTGCATAGAAACCAATGGGGGGAGTCAATATGTTGCACACAAAACTTTTTATTCTAAAACACACCTGTGTCAAAACTTTGCAGGCACACTCATGACCTTAAATGGGCAATTTTCACAAAATCTCAAGTAGAAATAAATAGCTTAGCCACTGTTTCAAACAGTTTGAAAATCGAATGTGAATCAATGGCACTTCATGTTTTAACCAACAAAGTGTAACATTCCCTTCCACTCAGACTCCTCTATATTGTATCATCTCATTCTCTCTCTCACTGTTGCAGGATTTGACCTGGGCCGCTTACAGATCTCTAAAGAGAGGGTAAATGATGTCATCCTGCCTAAATGGGCCAAATCCCCCGAGGATTTCATCTACAAGCACCGCAAAGCCCTGGTGAGCCCATTTCTGATGACCTCATCACAGCTCTTCCCCACTAACCTCAATAGAGAGCCTCCAGGGAGGGATGTGTAATTGAATACAGCCCACTCTCAGTATCTGTTTCTGTTCTTCTTCTCAATTCCTTCGCCACTTCTGTCCTATTAAAGCCTGAAGCAGTGAGAAATGGCTTCGTGAAAGGTTACAAAAGTAGAACAGCACAAGAGTGCTTCCCAGTCTCCTCCTGGCAGATTCCTCTCATAATGACTGATGGCCTCAGGTTTGGAAGCGTATCGTGTGACCGTTTTGTTGATGTAGATGATATTTGTCTGTGCTCAGGAATCCGAGTATGTGTCGGCCCACCTGCATGAATGGATCGATCTGATCTTCGGCTATAAACAAAGGGGCCCGGCTGCAGTGGAGGCCCTTAATGTCTTCTACTACTGCACATATGAAGGTAGCTAAACATACAAGTCATGATGTGGCTGATATCCTTTGCTACCATACTTGTCTTACCACATTGTCTGTGGTTGTTTTAGGGGCTGTTGATCTGGATGCCATCACAGATGAGAAAGAGAGGAAGGCTCTAGAAGGCATGATCAGTAATTTTGGACAGACACCGTGCCAGTTACTGAAGGTACGGCACTCTAATGCTTCTCCACACAGACAGACGGTGTTAGAAGAAGCTTAAATAGAGATCATAAGATGACGTAAACATAACAGAGTATTTGTTGTTTGATAAGATGGTGTGTGTGTTCATTTGCTTTTAGGAGCCCCATCCCATGCGTCTCTCCCTGGAGGAGCTGGAGAAGAGGAGAACCCGTCTGGACTCCTGTCCTCTCAACATATTCGAGCACCTCACTGAGCTCAAATCCTTCTTCATTGAGGTGACTGAATTAGCAGTGCTTTATGTGTTTGTGTAGATGTTGTTCTGTGAACTGATTGAGTTTCATCTCTGTGTTTTAGGGCATCAGTGATAATGTGCCACTGGTTAAAGCCGTTGTCCCTAAGAACCAATCACATTCATTTATCTCACAGGGGAGTCCAGATACTCTGGTAAGTCTGGGCTTGATTAGCTACGTCTTACAGACAATAGGACAATTACAGACAATACATCTTACAATAGGCCCTATTTTATTAATTTTTTTATTAATGTACCTGGTCCCTTATTGTGCACAATCAATCAGTGTACATTGCGATAAAATTATATAAAATAATATTTAGATAAATATAAAAAAAAAACATTAGATAATTTTAAAAGAATAAATAAAATTGAGTTTTTTTATTTATTTAGTAATCAGCCATATGATAAGTGATAGTAATACTGTCAGGGTCAGGGTCCTGATCTCTCTCCTTTTTTTTTATTTAAATAAAAAATAATAATATTTATATAAATGTATATAATAATTTGACTCAAATCTTTAAATAAATAAAAAAAAAATTATTTATTGGATTTTTTTTTTATAAGCAGCCATGTAATAATTAGGTTCTGATCACCCTGACATAGTTTTTTTTCTTCTTTTTTTTTTCTTATGACATTGGTCTTAATGTGCACAATTATTAAGTGCACAGTGTAATGAAATATATAAATATAGAAGAATATTTATATAAATAAAATAATTTTGACTCAAATAATTTTATGATCACCCTAACAGAGTTTATATTTACAGTAATAGCGTGACTTAAATTATAAATAAATGCATTACAAAGTTTTTTTTTCTTTCTTTTCTTATTTTTCTTCTTTTTTTTTTCTTATGACACTGGTCTTAATGTGCACAATTATTAAGTGCACAGTGTAATGAAATATATAAATATAAAATAATAATATTTATATAAATAAAATTATTTTGACTCAAATAATTTTATGATCACCCTAACAGAGTTAATTTTTTTTACAGTGATAGACTTAAATTATAAATAAATGCATAACAAATACACATGCCATTCCACATTGTCTTTAATGCCCTCTGAAGTTTTGGTTATGAAATCTTTGATACCCTCATAAATAATGTGTTTTTGGGTTATCAAGGTAACGCTGAGCCAGAACTGCTTGATGGGAACTCATGGCTGGCTGCCCTACAACAAGAACATATCCAACTATTTCACCTTCATCAAAGACCCCACCGTAGCCGGTGTAAAGTGAGTCTCTCTGACGGTTAACGTCCTCACGTCCTGTTTGTACTGTAGCTGCCCTGCACTTGTGGCAATAACCAACACATCAGCAAGCACACTCTCTCTCTGTAGGACTCAGAGGTGTCTAGCAGGGCCGTTCTCTCCAGGGGTTGAAGTCACAGCTCGCCTGTTTGTTGTGTCTCATGACGGGAAGTTGCTCTTCAGTGGAGGCCACTGGGACAACAGCCTGAGAGTGACGTCTCTCGTAAAGGGCAAAACAGTGGGGCAGCACATCCACCACATGGGTACTGGAAACTGCTTCTCTTGACCTTCCTCTGCTGTTTTTTTCCCCTTCATACTTTCTCTTGAATAGGCACATCCAGATTGTACTGTATGTTCTAACTTTAACCTTGAATTGCAGGAAACAAACCTGCTAACTTTGGATATTTGTGTGTGTGTGCGTGCATTTTTTTTTTCTGTCCCGGCAGACATCGTAACGTGCCTGGCCACAGATCACTTTGGGATTCACCTGATCTCTGGCTCTAGAGACACCACCTGTATGGTGTGGCAGGTGCTACAGCAGGTATGTTCTGTTCTCTTGGAAAAGCCACATGATCAGTCGTCTTCAAATGACTTCCTATAGAAGGTTCATTCCTAAATATGAAGTATTTTATTGTCTTAATCATGTGTTTATTGAATATAATGATACACTACTGTTCAAAAAATGATGTTAGAGATACTGTTAAAAATGTTTTTGAAAGAAGTGTCATATGCTCACTAAGGCTGCATTTATTTAATACAGTAAAACAGTAATATTATGAAATGTTATTGCAATTTAAAATAACTGTTTTTTTATTTAAATATATTTTAAGATGTAATTTATTCCTGTGATCAAAGCTGAATTTTCAGCATCATTACTCCAGTCTTCAGTGTCACACGATCCTTCAGAAATCATTCTAATATGCTGATTTGCTGATTATTATCAATGTTTAAAACAGTTGTGCTGCTTCATATTTTTGTAGAAACTGTGATTTTCAGGATTCTTTGAATTAAAAATTCAAAAGAACAGCATTTATTTGAAATATAAATCTTTGGTAACATAATAAATGTCACATTTGACCAATGTAATGCAAAAAAAATAAATAAATAAAAATCTTACTGACCCCAAAGTTTCGGTATGTATATTCGATGACTCATTCATTTGCATTAAGAATAAAATTTACAATTTAAAGCTAGAGATTGCATTAGTTTTTTTTTTTTTTTGTTAAAATAGCATAATTAATTTAACATATGGATGAATTTTAAATAATAGTTTGAGTGGATATTTCTTATAATAAGCTGGGAATTTTACAAGAAATATTTCAGAAGTTTCTTCCTTAATTTAACATTCTTAGGAATTTAGTTTTAATTGGTATGTTTTTTTGTTTTTTTTTTAAAACTACCTCATCACTTGTTAAAGGTGCAATAGGTGATTGTCTTCAGAAAATTTTTTTGTTATGCTGGTTGATAGCAATCATTAAGTTAAATGGTGTAAATGTATTTATCTGTATTTATATAATATTTTGTGGAAGGCGTAGGATCAAGAAATGTTCGTCCAATCAAAACGCTCTGAAATTTCCTACCTGCCTGTCAACATATGTATTCGCATACCTCTGCTCACCCGGTTCGTGCAGACAGGATACGTCATCAGCGCGTTCACGTACGCTATGCAGAGCGAGAATGGCAGGCAAACATCAACAACCTGACCTTCCTTCCTGGTATTGTAGTACTGTTACTAACTGTACTAAAAGGTTTTCTCACCGGTGAATGACACATAACGTATTGTAGTAATGTTGTCTCTGGTTTTCTGATCTGTTCGCATTCGTGCGTTCAGGAGGCGTGGCTTTGGACGGCGATTTGCAGGGAGGGTGGGACGTTCGCTTTCAGTGCTATCAGGCTAAAGTTAGCATTTTCAAAGATCTCCTACTGCACCTTTAAATAATATAATGAATAAAGTTTTTATTCTCTACTCATATAAAGTTTTTATTTCTAATACAGTGTTGGAGTTTAAACTTGTTCTGTTTTTGTAGGGAGGTGCTCCAGTCGGTCTGTCCCATAAGCCAGTGCAGGTATTGTACGGACACACAGATGAAGTTGTGAGTGTGTCTATCAGTACAGAGCTGGACATGGCGGTTTCTGGATCACGGGTGAGAGTCACCTCTCTCAAAATCACTCAAAAACACTGTCTACTACTCACACTTGTTCGGTATTCAGCAACTGGCATTGTGCCTTATTTCAAATACGAAAAGGTTAGCCAATCATAGTGTAGCTCATTTACATAACGAATTTTTAAAGAGGTCAAAGATGGTTGAACTGGGTGGATTTTAAGGGAGTAAAATGTAAATAGCAGTTTGTGTGTGTGTCACAGGATGGGACGGTGATCATTCACACTGTTCGGAGGGGTCAGTACATGCGCTCTCTGCGGCCGCCGTGTGATAGCTCTCTGCCCGTGTCCATCATGCGCCTGGCTGTGTCCTGGGAGAGACATCTAGTGGTGCACACCTGTATAGAGGGCAAAGCCACACTGAAGGTATCAAACACACAGTTCAGTTCCTCTTCTCCACACACATTTCTGTGCCTTTGTAAACCGAGCCTCTTTGTGTTGTGTTGTGTGTGTTCAGGATAAGAATGCCCTGCACCTGTACTCTGTGAATGGGAAGCACCTGTGCAGCGCACCTCTGAAGGAGCAGGTGACAGACATGTGTGTTTCAGGAGAACATGTGGTCATTGGCAGCGAGCAGGGGTTCCTGTCTGTCAGAGATCTGTACAGGTAAACCTGTAAACCATAATCTGCTGCTTTTTTCATATTTTAACACGCATCGAAGCAATAGTTTCAGCAGTTAAATTCTAAGAAGTGGCTCTTGAGTGTCATTATTACAATGTGTTACTGGTGACTGATGAAATCTTTAAAAGAACACGCATGCACTGAGGTAACTGTGAATGACTAATATGAGTCATATCTAGAAACCAGAATACTATAGATATTGCAGCAGTACCAATTTTTCCCAGCTGCTTTGGTTCCGGAAGTGTTTTTTTCCATGAATTACTCCTGTTGGGATTTTAAAATAGTCTTCATTTAAATGCTTTACGCCATGAACTAAACCAACCAGCTATGAGGGGAATCAATTAATCTAATGTAAAAACTACTGATTAAATATTGAAAGAATCTGATTTATTTATTGCATAATATATAGTTGTTTAAGTATGATTAAAGCATGATTTACAGTGATTCATAGGCTTCTTTTGATTACATATACACAAACAATATATTTTATATTTATTGCAAAACATATATATATATATATATACATACCTACAGTACTTATCAAAAGTTTGGAAACAATGGTTTTTTAATGTTTTTAGTCTCTTCTGCTCATCAAAGCTGCATTTATTTGATCAAAATGCAGTAAAAACAATAATATTGTGAAATATTATTACAATTTAAAATAAATTTCTATTAGAATATATTTTAAAATGTAATTTATTCCAGTGATGCAAAGCTGAATTTTCAGCATCATTACTCCAGTCTTCAGTGTCACATGATCCTTCAGAAATCATTCTAATATACTGATTTTTGTGAGTTTTGATGCAATTTGTTTGTTGTGATTCTGATAGGTGAAGGTTTCTTTGCAGAATTGGAATCTCACCAGGAATTCCACTGTTAAACACAATTATTTAAAAAATAAGTTGAAATAATGTGGGCTGATGGCCTTAACGAAAGCATGTACCATTGATTAACAACCTCACAGTTTCCAGGAGGTCTGTCTTTAATAGTTTAAGCTAGCATTTAAAAACAATCATTGAGACTTTTACTTCCAGAACCTGCCTGTTGCACTTTATTAAAGGATAGTTCAACTCTATTGTATTTACTCACCCTCAAACCTCTATGACTTTCTTTCGTCTGCTGAACACAAACGACGATACTTTGAAGAATGTTGGTAATGGGAAAAAAATACTATGGAAGTCAAACTGTTTGGTCATTCTTCAAAATATCTTCTTGGGTCAGATTGTAAGAATGTCTGTTCCTTGAGCTTGATCCTAACACGCCCTCTCTCTTGGTTACCATGGCAGCCTGGCTCTGTGTGTGTCGCCGATGGCGATGCGGGTGTCCATCCGGTGCGTGTCAGTGACCAAGGAGCAGTCTCACGTTCTGGTGGGCCTCGATGACGGCAAGCTGATCGTGGTGGGCGTTGGGAAACCCGCCGAGGTAAAAAACTCCTTCAGGAACTACATCACCCAGAGGATGGAGGGCTCGCCTCTCATGCACACGCTGCGTGTGCGATCGCCCGCACGCCTGCTGCATCTCAGAGACCAGAATACGTTCAGCCCCGACATCATCTGAGAGAAATACATACAAGTCAAGTTCAGATACATAAAGTTCACACGTTTACCTAGCTATCTAAGTGGGGACTATCCCAACCCAAAACCATAACTCTTCCCCTAAAAGAATAGACTTAAAAAAAAAACACACTTTTGAAGAGAAGCCCAAAGTGGTATTATCAGATTTAGCTAACTTCTGAGGACACTTTTTTATCAATTTTGTCCCCAAACTATCAGTCAATCAATCAATTGATCAATAATGTAAACATAAACAGTACACTCATCATGAGCATAGTAATGACATAACAATGCATTGAAACTGTTGCCAAGGATTTTTATCTTGAGCATCTGTTGTGTAATCAGTGGTGATTGTGTGAAGTGTAAATGTTTTTAAATAAGTTTGCTGTTGGTTTCAGTTTTCTCTTAGCAGTTGGAGTTGTAACCTAACCAAACCAAACCCTCATGATACTACTAACAATGCTAGTAATAATACGATATAACGATAGAATAATAATGATAGTAATAGAATAAAATAAACTCGTGGTGTCACACTCATTCTACAATAATTGTAATACTGTGAAATCATTAGAGAAGGGTTTTGATGGTTTTTCTTTTTTTTTTTGGTTAACAAAAAAAAAACAAGTTTTTGCACAGAATGCACAGGTATTCATGCCATACACTGAAGCTATTTTTGAATATTCCAAACAGTGCAAAGCGTTCTCAAGGATTTTTTCTTAAATATCACTAGCTTGTATAGCAACATTTGGGTTTCTATATTAGATGAACTTAAATGGAAAATACAGCCTGAAAAATACTCTACATGAGAATGTGAACACGCTTCTAGCTACGCAAACTCAATTTTACACATCAGTGTTTTGCAAAATGTGAAGTAACCGATGCTATTGATATTATATCAGTATTTCATTTTTAAAATATCATGATTATTGTCAGTACCAGTATATTGCGATACATTTACTCATTATTTTTTCATTCACCACATTGCCACAAGGGGTGCTATAATGTAGCTAATTCCTTAAATTATCGCACATTGTTTGATGTGAACTATATCGCCCCCTTGAGTTCTGAGATTAGTTAAGATGAACGTAGTCTCTGCCTCAGATGGAAGAATGGAAAACACTGACTCAGTTTGCCGATTTCAATCTGTCGCACATTTGTGCAACGGGACCACGAGCTTACAATGCATTCTTCCAAGCATCTGTGTTTTGTATGTTTGTGTAGAGTATGTTTCTGACATAAAATTATATCAGTTCAGACTTAAAGGGTTTGAATACACACAGTCAGTACATACAATTACACAGCCCTGCATCTTGATTTGCAAAAAAAGGAATATTATGTGACTGGATTATGCTGAGTTCAAAAATATCAATAACAACTTTCCATCATGTACAGTTCTTCCACAAAATAAGAATGCATTACCAAAAATAGCGCTCAGTCAAGTGTCAAAAGTTTTCGGATTTAATGACAAAACATGTATTCAAAATGTTTCATTTAACATAATACTCCATTTAATGTCAAAGAACTTTACAAAATAAGCTTTTTTCACAAAATGTGTACTTTTCTTTTGCTTTTTGGATATAGTATAACACCCACAGATGTAGCAGAAAACATCTGGCTCATGTTTGCATTTACCTTGAAATCAGGATTAGGCATAAAATAATGTCTTCAGAATCATTCATACATGTAAAAATTGGCTGGAAATTTAACAGATAGTCATAACCTGGTTCACAGGAAGATATTATTATGTCTTTGTAGCATTTTTAAGGGATAATACAAGACCTCTTCACCTTACAAATGGTTGTCAAAATGATCTTCATATTTTTCACATCATATTTTTTGAGAAAAGTGACGTGCTTAAAGGTGGGGTAAGCGATTTCTGGTAGCCAATGTTGACATTTGAAATCACCAAAACAAACACGCCCCTACTCTCCTCCACATCATGAGTAGACACGCCCCTTACTGCTGATTGGCTACAAGTTTGTTTTGCTAGTCGGCCCGAATCAGTTTTCTAAAGCGTTTTTGAAAAATCGCTTACCACACCTTTAAGCAAAACGGGCACTATTTTTGGAATCAGCAGCCCAATTAGTGAGAAGCACGTCTTTCATTCAGCAAATATAATGCAGGGCGGTGTTATCATTTTCTTATCTCATCTTCTTTTTTGAGTTACTTCACTTGAAATGCACATTTTGATTTTGCACTAACCTCAAAATGAATCCAACACAGATGATCTCACATGCACTCATCAATCATCTTTTTTTCCCCCTCTGTTCACCTCCTCTTTACTTTTATCCTTCACTTCCCTCTCCTCTCCGTTCCTCAGATGCGTTCTGGCCAGATTACAAGGAAACTCTGGGGCTCCAGTAAGCGTCTCACTCAGATCTCGTCTGGGGAAACCGAGTATCACACCCAAGAGCAACCCTGACCCCGCCCCTAAATCACAGCCCTCCTGCCTGATTGGCCACCTGCCCTGTCAATCACCCAAATCCATCGTTTCAGATGGGAGGATGGCTCTCTCCTCTTGCTGAAACAATATGAAGGACTTTTTAGCACCTGTATGCAAATCTGTGTGTGTGTTGAGCCAAACGGATGCGTGTTCCCTCGTGTAGTTGGACTGGTGCAGGCACCATCTAACTACATGTGTCTGAATTCTGTGAAAACCCTAATGTTGACCCTCCTGACTCCGCCCTCTCTGTCGTTTTCCACCACATGTGCCACGCCCATTTAGTTAATCATCATTAACACACTGTTATCAACATCATCATCAGCATCATTACAACATGTTTTTGTCATGTCTACCTTCACATGTGTGTTGAGTATGTGTCCAGTTATTTGTTTCTTTAGTGGCCTTGTCATATTTCATAGGTTGTTTTATTAGTGGACACAGGCATTATTTATTTGCACAGTCTTGCTCTTGCACAGACCTCGAAAAGTGGATGATATTGTACACCAGTATAATACGCATGACGTATTCTGTTCCAACAGACCAACACATTTTATAGCAAAACTGACATCTGTAGGGTGCGAACGCTGATTTTTATTGTGCGTAACTGTTGAATGTTGTCATTCATTACTTGAATTGTGATGCAGTTATTTCAATGAAGAATGCAAGATTTCATTTTGTCGTGGATGTACATGCAAATAGTTTTATAACCATTCTACCATTCTAGTTTGGTTTATAGATTTGTTACATCTGAAACACTACAAATACAAAGGGGGAGAAGTTTCGAAGGGCTTTGTGAGACACGACAGTATGCAATACAGTTCGTCCCTCTGAAGCATTCCACTGGCTAATCGCTGCTCCGCAGTCTTCCTAGTATCCAAACCGAGCACTACATAGAGAGGAGGTACTTGTGTACCGCGGGACAGCTAGAACCAATGCAGCATAAGTCAGGTGAGACGCTGTTTCCCCTCCTCTTTTATATTTCTAAGCCATGCAGTCTTCGTTTACTATGCAGGTAAGCATCCAGGCCTTCTAGAGAATTCAGTTACTGATTGAAATCTGAATTCTGCTTATGCAGTTTTTATTTCTTGACCGTAGGCTGGAGATGTATGCGTTTCCTTTACAAGAATGTACCATAGTGATCATAGTTTCCAGCAAAATACCTTTATTATAGTCACAAGTGTGAGAAAAAAGCTTTTTGCATTTGTTAGTACTAAATTACTAGACGTAGTATAGTGATAATAACTGGTATTGTGGTGGAAACTATAATTACCATTGTATTTTTGTAAGGGTTTAGTTTGTGTCTCATTTTCTTACACTAATGTCTTAGAGTGACAACATTCATTCCTTTACTAAAGGATGGTTGTTTGGAAACTTATAAGCGATATGAAGACGTTAATGAAGATACTAATACCAAAATGCAGATGTCTTTATCAGGATGTTCATATAGTTTTGTGTGTTGTATGTTCTTCCATATATGTGCTTTAGTTTGCTATGGTGCGGAAGTTTAGATTTGAAGTCTGAATCGGGATGAGTTATGTTCATTTATGTTCATGCATCTGCTGGTTGCTTTGGAAATAAGTTATACCAAGAGATCTAAATTAATGCTTTGATTTCTTTGCATTTATTCTATTTTTTTAGACTGTTAATGTAATGTAAATCCCAGAGGTGGCTGATTTTATTCACATGTCTGTTTGTATGTATATGTGTTTCTCTTCCTTTAATTAAATGAATGGAGTGCCTTTTTTATTCCGTCGTCATGCAAATTAGTCTCCATGATCTGAACTCTACAGCATGACCTTTCGTGACCCCTGTGGACAGCCACGATTTCTGCGGGAACCAGACAAACTTCAGCAGTCCTGTGATTTACTGAGCTGCTTTTGATTTAGTCGTCACTAATGGATGTGTGTGTATATCTGTGCTTATTTATGAATCCAGTATGAAATGTACAGCATGAATTTGATTTCTGTTTATGAATTGTATTTTTTTGCACTTTCCAGGTACGACAAATTGTAAGAGATTGTTTTAAATGTCTCCTTGATCTGTACAGAGAAACTGCTTTGTTATATGTGAAAATTTATCATTAAAGCCCTGTCGAAAAGTCACAGTGACGTGTTTATTTTAAGTTGTGTGTCAATTAAATAATTCCATAAAAATATTATTGATTGTGTAATGTTATAACATAAAAATTAATCATAGTGAATATTTACACTATCATGAATCATTTTATTTAGGAGTCAGTGTATGCTTCTGTGTGCATCATTAGATTTATTTTAATTAAAATATATGACAAATGTATTTTAGTGTGAAACGGAACCATGTCTGATACAAATCCATGATATGAAGTATTTATTTGTATTTTGTAAAATTACAGACAATAGTAAAATTAATAAAGAACATTAGAACACTACAAGGGCATATGTCATAAAAAAATAGACTAATTATATTATAAAATAAACTAATAGGCAAATAGTGTGTTAGTATTGCTCAGTTTTGTTATTTGTGAATATATATTTCGAGCCAATGTAATAAATATATTCAAATAACTCAAAAGTTGAATTATTTTTTTTAAATAAAACATACTTTTTCATATAGTATCTGTTTTGTAAAATGTGATGATGATGATGCTGCCTTCACACCGCAGCGTCCCCTTTAAGAAACTCTCTGGAAGTGACTGTGTGCGGCGGCGGACTCGCGAGATTTGCCCGCGAGAGAAAACAGTCGCCATTTCTCGAAAAGTAAGAAAGCGCTGAAAGTGTGGCGGACAGTTCGTTCACATGCGCACAGAAACCATCCCAGATAACTCCTAAAGTAAAGACCGCATCTAAGCTTCCCGTTACCGGCTGTCTTCCCTGGCTGGTGTACAACTAGATGTGATATTCCAGTCGGAGTTTATGAGGGCGGCGAGTGAGTGAGAGTGATTGAGGCCTGACAGTACAAACACTCTACGTTACGTCGCAGACTGTAAACTCACTGTTGTTGGTCACTCTCACAGGGGCATAACTGCAGAACAAACAGCCCTCCTCTGAAAAATGATCATTGAAAACCTCGATGCCTTGAAGACGTGGCTCTCGAAGACTCTTGAACCCATGTAAGTGATGCTGCTGCTGAAAATGATAACTAAATGATGCTAGCAAAATGATTCAAATCTCCCTGAATGTCAGTGACTTTAGTTTTATATGACTTTATTATTGTCAAATGCTTTTGCTCTTTTTGTATATTGGTTTTACATTCTATTGACTATAATGCTTGCACTTGGTTATCCTAGTAATCACGAGTTACCAGCAATTGTAAGTTGTATCTATTATACAGATGCTCTAAACTTGCTGTAAAGATGTTGTAGGTTGTCAAATAAGCGTCTTTATGTCATCATTGGGGTTTAATGTAACTGAAGTGTATATGTCTGTCCTGCAGATGTGATGCTGACCCTTCTGCTCTTGCGAAATATGTGGTTGCTTTGGTGAAGAAAGATAAATCCGAGAAGGAGTTGAAAGCACTGTGCATTGACCAGTTGGATGTATTTCTTCAGAAAGGTATAATTCAACTCTATTAATGATCTGAATATATGCAGTTCTTTTGCTCAAACCAGATGAAGGTCACTAACTAGTAGGATCATATCAAGGTGGTTGTCATTCGTTTTTAGACATGATTTGCATAACAGCCGCTTCAATTCCATGTTGCTTCCAAGACAGCTTCAGAGATTCAGTTCTGAAAGAGTGACAATACAATCATATATGCACATGCATCTACATTCATTTGCTTTTGCTTGCAGAAACGCAGATATTTGTGGACAAACTTTTTGAAGCTGTGAACGCAAAGAGTTACCTACCTCAACCAGAGCAGCCGACTTCTGCAAGCAGAACTGAAACTCACCAGCGCACAGAGAAAGATGAAACTAAGAGAGAGGAGGTAACACAAAACAATCACATAAGATCAACCTTTTGAATAATCCTACACTACCTTTGAAAAATGTGAGGTCCGTATTAATAAAGAAATTAATACTCTTATTCAGCAAGTGCACTTTAAATTGATCAAAAGTGACACTAAAGACATTTATAATGCTAAAATAAGAAAGTTACTGTTCTTTTGAAATTTCTTTTCATCAAAGAAACACAAATTGTCAAGCAGCATAACTGTTTACAACATGATAATAAGATATGTTTCTTGAGCAGCAGAGCAGCGTATTAGAATGATTTCTGAAGATCATGTGACACTGAAGACTGGAGTAATGATGCTGAAAATTCAGCTTTGCATCACAAGAATAAATGCAAAACAGTTATTTTTAATCTTAATAATACTTTACAATATTAATATTTTTACTGTTTTTGATCAAATAAATGCAGCCTTGCTGAACAGAAGATCATTATTACAGACCCCAAACTTTTAAGCGGTAGTGTACGTTGTGAAATTTCTTTTGTGCTTGATGGTATTGATTTCTGTGGTCGGTTTTGCATAAGCAGCCCAGCCGAGATGAGGATCGAGAAAAGAAATTCTCCAGGAGAATAAACCACAGTCCTCCGTCTAGCTCCAGATACAGCCGAGACAGCAGGTGAGAATAACATTAAATATTACATACGATTTAACTTTCCCAAAATGCCACATACACACATCTCTTAAGCCACCTTGTTAACTATCCTCATATTTTCTCTTCTATTCCAATTAAATTACAGGAGAGTAGACGACCACAAGAAAGATGACCGTTCCAGGAAGCGAGAGTATGACCGTAACCCTCCCAGAAGGGACTCGTACAGGGAACGTTATAACCGCAGGAGAGAACGCAGTCGCAGTCGTAGTCGCAGCTGGAGTAAGGACCGCACTCGTGACCGGGACAGAGAGCGGGACCGCAGCCGATCTCGCACACGCAGTCGCTCTAGAAGCAGAGGTGAGGCGTCACTTTACTTTAGTGATTAGGTTTATTCTCATATTTGAATTTTTATGCGTGTAGTTGAAATGAAATACTTTTTGCTATGCTTTGTCTAAAACAGATTTATGTAAGTGCTTATATTTTGTAACTCATATTAATAGAGACTGCATGGAATATTTCTGTCTAAAATGCTTGAGCCAAAACCAGTAGTTTTAGTTCTTACATGTATAAGTAAAAAAAAAAGTTTGAAGAATGTAAGATTTTTAAAAGGTTTTTGAAAGAAGTCTCTCATATTCAACAAGTCTGCCAACCCTCTACATTGCGAGTAAATCACTCGCATATGTGACTAAATCTTCACTCTGGGCGACTAAATGATGTCTAATATTAGCCAATGGCTAATAAATTCTCAGATTTTACTCGCCAGTGTGTGAGTTATAGGCTGAGTATAAGTTTAGCACAGATATATTTTCACTCACAGAACACTCTGACTGAGCACTTCAGAGTTTCACTCTCCGTCAAGCGATCTGTGATATTTTTCAGTTCATTTGAATGGATGCGCAGCGCACCTGTGTTTGTGTATTTCGCACGACTCGCCGTCGCTTTCTCTTACACGTGCAAAGAGCGAGAGCGAGCGAGAGCGAGCAAGAGTCTTACATAACATGCAGAATTGATGC